GCGGACTGGGTGCCCAACAACGTCGGCATTCGAGATTCTGGGGGCTGCTGGATACAGTCTCAATCTCGTAACATCGGTGCCAACGCTAGCGGCAATATGTTGCCGATAATGCATAGGCGATTCGTCTCCAGGGAGATGCAGGATGGATTGGCTGTCGTGGATCAAACAGTAAGCACCGTTCGGGGCTTCTTGAGGACGGAAAATCAGGTTGTCCCAGGGCGCAGGGTGGCTGAGCCTAAACCCTAGAGAGTCCCTAAAGGGTGGGGGAGTTCCCTCTGGCAGAAAGGTGATGACATCACCGTGTGCAAGCTGCAGCTCTTGTCCCTCTTGCAGAGGGGCGTCCGATGTGCCAACATAGATATCAACACGGCTGTCAAGAGGCAAATCAGCCGTCATCAAGAGGGCAAATCTATCAGAATAGAACCGACCTTTGACAGCAAAGAATCTGGAATCGATGGCAATGGTGTCAATGCATATGGTGGGTCTGGGGTCATCCCAGATAGGGTCGGCTATGAGTAGCCCTGCTCCCTGTATGGGCTGGGGTCGGGCAGCCGTAAGGATGGGAAAACGGCGGTTGTCTTGGAGAGATCGGTTCTCCCGGACTGCTGCAAGTGCCTCAGCCATCACAGCCGGGAGCGCAAGATCAATCCAAACACAGTGCAGCTGATAGCCAGGTGTGGCTATGAAGAAAGGGAGAGTGCATGGGACAGCGACCTGCTGATGTCGCTCACGCTGGGTCTCACCTTCAGTCACACCTAAGCCTACATTGTGTGGTGGCGCCGTATATTCCCACCCTTGGTTGTGCTGAAATCCTTCTATTTGATCACCAAAGACCTCCCTCCATTGGTTAGACTCATAACAATCTCTGTATGCTCCAAGGTTGTCAGCAGGAATCCCGTCGCATTCGGGTGCAGGTGGAGGGATGCCACTATCATCGTTTGCTCGGTGCCATTGCTCAGTGGTGATTTGCGCGGTGCATCCGCCTAGGAGGACAGAGGCAGAACCCCAGGTATGCGGGAAACGTCCGACAAAAGAACTGAAGTAATGCTTGACTACTCGACTGAGGGCTTGGATGTGGTCACTCCATGCTGAGCAAATTATCCGGCCAAGTCCGGGAACAGCCTTTGCTGCTGTAGTTGGGAAAGACCCTGTACTTTGGCATAGCCGAGTGACCGGGGAGCGGCTTCTAGAGCTCCTGCGAGAAGGATCAGGGACTGGGGGGACTGGATGCTGTGGACTCTGCCTCTCTGAATTGTGGTCATCTGTGAGGTCTTCAGCATCAGTAAGCTCGACATGTGGGCTGGTTGGTTCATCGACCTCAATATGCGTCGATACATAGGTGGCGGTGAAAACCTGACCTGGGCGAACCTGGAAGCAGCCTTCATCATCAAGCTCACCTGTGTCAACTCTAGAGGTCCAACCCGGCGGGGCAAATGTGTCTAGAACCGTAATGAGGTCTAGATACGAGGCTCTCCCAGCAGGGGCCTCAATTAAGGACCAGCCCTGCAACAATGGTCGACAGTCGAGAAGACCTACATGGAGGTCAGGGTTGCGCTCCCCTGCAAAGTGGATGGCGATTGCACGAACACCAGTGCAGTGGTGTCCCCGGATGGCAGCATCCGTTATCTCCGGCACGGCTGGTAGGATGTCTGTGGAGGAGAGGTCGAGCTGGAGAGTCTCGGCTATGCTGGTGTGGGGGTGAACCCTGTGAAGAGGGTCATGGGTGACAAGTCTTTGTCCACCTGTGACACAACAGTAGTGATGCCCTATTGGTCCATATGGAAGCTCGGGGTCAGCATCCCAGCTATACGGGGCTTGGAGCAACTGATCAAGCATGAGGAGCTGTGGCCTCTGGGCCGGGCTGTTGGCAATAACGATCAGTCCCCCAGGTACATAGGTTGCAAAATCATCAGGACCTAGGGGGGTCGTGTTGCCATAGGCAAAGACCCAGAAGGCACCTGTGTCGTCGAGTCCTGCAGCTCTACACAGCTGATCTCGAGATGCTCGTCTGGGGACATCAGTGGCAAATAGCCTGTCATCGATTTCTCTAGTATCTATGCAGGCTATGGATTCCTCTGCAGCCCATGCAGGCATTGAGAGGATAGTACCCCAGTGGCTGTCGGGTTGTGGCACTACAGGGCAGAGGAGCGGGTAGTGTTCCTGACGACGCTCATCGATTTCGACAGACGCAGTTGCAAGGACTTCCTGAACAGTTGAAGTCTCGTCGAGTACAATTGCAATCTGTTCCGGGAGACTGTCTGGCACGAGGACAAGGAATTGTCCAAGTTGCATGTCAAGCTCGCTCTCTCCACCCTCTGCATCATGTTCAGCATCTTCATTTGGCTCTGGGGCAGCTTGGCCAGTGTGCACAAAAACCTCTGCCGGGAGACGTTCTGCTTGGATTGCGCGTTGGTGCTGTGCGTCACCAAGTGCATTCGCAAGCCTTTGCTGAGGGGTGTCTGGAGGTACCCTCCTTACTTCGTGAGGAAGGCTCTGGGGCTGGACTTGCCAAGCTCTCCTAGGGCCGCCGCTACGAGAGCGGCTACGACTGGAGTCTGCGCCTGGTGATGGCGGATGTGCACCTGAGATGGGACTGGTGGGGCTATGAGCCTCAGCTGGCGGTTGGGTAGAGGCATCAGTGTCGGCAGTTGCTGAGTACTGAGACTCTTCGTCAATGGGCTGGCTGTTGTCAGAGTCAGCCTCATTGCGAAATCCAAAGACAACTGTGTCTCCGTGCTTAATGCTAATATGGTTCTCCTGGACAGCCGGGGTAGCCTTGGCTACTGAAAGATGGTAATTCCTGGGCAGGCGGTGTATGCCGATATACCTAGCAAGGTATCCAAGCTCGACGGTGGGGTCAAGAAGCCATACGTATGTTGGTTCTCGGCCAACCTGTCTACCATCAAGGAAAAGGAAATGTCCAGCCCTGGATGCATCTGTCGGGGGAGGGCCACACTGAACAGCAACAAAGTTAGTGCAGTGGTGTCCATCATGGCTTACTGTATGGAAGTGCCCACCCGTAGGGTATGCAACAGTGAGCTGAGACACCGGCTGCTGATAGCGGGCACTGGCTGCATCGATAGGGAGAGTCCCTGCACTGATGGTCCATAGGTTGTGGTGGTGAGAGCAGTCACCAGCAGCAAGGAGTGGTGGATGTGCAGAGGCAGCATCAAATGTAGGGAAGGTCCACGCAGATGCTTTGGAGAACCTATCTTCAAATCCCCCGTGCCAAACCGGAATGGATCCCTGTGGCCTAAATTGTACGACACCACCATGGAGACTGCGGAAACTCTCCCCGGGCTGCAAAGGCTCCTGTCCACCGAAGAGGAAGACATCAAATTGTTGGATGTCCTGCTTCCTTGCCTCCTTGTGGAGGTCTTGGTAGCAGCCTTCAACAAAGTAATGCTTGGCATAGCAGGGGCCTCCCAGAGCTCGGAAATCGAGGACTAAAATTGCATCCCCATATTCATCATGCCATGCACCTCCCAAAATTAAGGACGCAGATCCTTGGTCAAGTTGGGGGGTGGTTGGGACTAACGTCCTGGCAAAGCTGAGGCGAAGCTCAGACAAGCCTGCAAGGACTTCTGATATAGCTTCGGGGGCAGTGGTGCCTGGAACACGTAATACAAGTGACACAAGCTCAGTATGGTGTTGAGGGCAGAGCACAGTGAAGTACTTTACGCTCAATGCGGAGGGCCGCTGCTCCGCAGCAATGCTTGGCAGAGCAGGGTCTTCTTTGGTAGGGGCCTCAAACGCATTCTCACGGTCATGCTCAGGACCTGGTGTGGAGGTTGAGGTAGGGTCCTCGTCAGCTGCTCGATATTGTGAAGCTGTGTGTTCGATGAGGTTGGGTAGGGGCCAGGCATCGGGCGCCTCAGGTGGAAGGACAGGCTCATGATCTGGGGTCTTAACAGCAGCAGCGGTGTGCAGCAGTAGCGCCTCAGTCAAGACGTGGGCTCCGAAGGGTATTCCCCAAAGTTGGGTGGGGACTGAGCCAAAGAAAACCCCGGAAATCCACCGAACAAGAAAACCCCGAAGCCCCCTGTGTCGACATGTCTGTCGCTTTCTCCGTCCTAGCTTGTCCTTGGTCCTCAAGGTAGGTGTCCACAATAGGACCGGCTCTCCAGGGCTAGCACAGCGTCCTAGGCTAATGGCAAGTTCGGCTTTGTGCTCTCCAGTGAGAACAAGCAGGGCATTCCGCAGTCTACCATGTCTAGGAGTGGCCCGGAGAAGGAGTCCAAAGAGGGAGGCAGACAGTATGAAGAACGATGTTCTGGCAACAGACACAAGGGCGGTCACCAGGAGGTGGAGGGCCCATTCAAAGGGTGGGCCAGAAAGGTCAATGGCCTGGCAAATAGGGCTGAGGCTGGCCTCAACAGTTTCCTGTGGGTCACAGCTGCGCGTGGACTGATGGTCAACTGCTTGCTCGGCGAACACCCCAGAGCTACCGATGTGTTTCTTAAGCGCTCGAGACTTACTGTTGACCCCAAAACTGGGCACCGTGGCAGCCGGTGTAGGGAAGACGAAACTGGCTGACCCAATGCAGTGCAGCCTGGATGGCGTGAGTGTATGGGCGGCATGACATGGGAGGGGCATTATTGGCGAAAAGAGAAATCCTCCAAGTCCAGAGGGGAAGGGATAACAGTGGTCGAAGAACTCAAGAACCCAATGAGTCCTCCGGCCTCTGAAAGAGGGTTGGCTTCTGTCCACAAGGTCAACCAAAACCCAAGGAAGACCCTGATGGATTCCAAGGCAAGAACCGCTAGGGTCGCTGATCCTTTGGAAAATTCGCTCATCACTAAGGACTCGACTCTGTACAGCTAAGCGGTGGCCCTCAATGTCCTCACTGGCTGGATGCTCCCTGCCTTTGAATCCAGTGGTGCTGGTCCCTCCGTCCGGCCTGTACCACCAGTCACGGAAAAACATCACTTCCGAACTGATAGCACTACCATCAGGGAGGGAAATACCAACAGGACCAAGGCAGGGATCATCACAGCATCTCATCCCATTCCATCCAAGCCTTGCATCCCAGCATGCTTGTGGGCTCCCGCTGTGGATTGTGTTGGCGAACCCGGCGACGTGCCAACCGTAGGACCACCGGTGCTCGTGAGATCGACAGGGCCTCTGGTATTTGGCAGTTCCTTTCGGTCCGTGTTGTTGGGCGGGATACCAAAGGGCTGCATGGCCTGACGTCTCTCCATAAGCTTGTCCGCGAGTCCCGGGCCACTGGCATCGACATGATACGGGTGTATGGCGGCTCCTTTGATGGGAGTCCTGACAGCCCCTTTCTTTTGCCCTGGGCTGGGCCCCCTTTCCAAAGGCCAGTCCGGCGTTCTGGTCGAAGGTGAGGGCATGTAGGGCTCGGTGGCCTTCACTGCATCCTCTTCTCGCTCTGTGTGGGTCAGGTTGCTGCTCTCGGGTGGCATTGGCACGTCCCCAGCCGTTCCTCAGCCGGGCGCCTGTGCAGGACCCGTGAATAGCCCAGGAGGGGCATTCGCGACCATGTGTTGCCAAAACCGAGCAGCGTCTTCTGGCGAGAGAAGTCCGCCACGCCCGGGTTCCACATGGTCCTCTCGGCCTTCGTGGGCTCGCCTGGCTGCATCCATAGCCTCCTTGAAAAAGCCAGTGGGTGCCTCGTCCGGTCGCTGCAACAGTTCCTCCCATGCGGTGTCCTGAGCTGAGGAGCTCTGGCTTCCCTGTGGGCCATTGCGGACAATGGTCCACGCCATTTCGGCAGCTTCTTTTCCCTGAGCCTTGGTTGCTTGGATCTCTCCATTGAGGCGTTCGACATCCGACTCGAAAAGCTGCTTGTTCTTGTAGAACTCCTCCTTGGTTTCTTTCTCGTAGATCTCCCATTGCTTCGCACGCTTTTCTTTCGCATCTAGTAGCCGACGTATTTTCCCGTCCGCCCTTTTCGCATTGGTAAGCGCCTTCTGAACATCCCGGAGCATACTGCCAGTGCCCAAGTGGTCCACCTCCGGCATAGCATGTTTTCCAGCGCCCTTGGATGGGACTTGCACATGATCGTATCGTCGGCCCGCTCGTGGAGATGCAGAAGGTCGTGACCCAGGCCACAAGTGCCAGGGTGGTTGCCTTGGCTGCTGTGGGTGTTGCCATCCGTCGTAGGCTTGCCACTTCTTTCCACCCATTCCACTACTGTCGAAGCGGTACCTTGGCTGGGAGTGATGTGACTCCAGCAAGTATAGGTCTCGCGAGAACACTGGTCCTCGTCCAGCTTTGGCCAGTCTCAATCTGGCCCTCGCAAGGCTACGCCTCTTTCGGGCGTTCCGGTGCCACGAAGGACTACGCGGCACGGTAGGCGTGGCTGCCCTCTGGCAGCACTGGGGTTTAGGCAATGCTTCAATTGAGCTCGATCCGAAACCCTTCTCTCTCTATATATATATATATATATATATATATATACATACACATTTATATGTGATTTTATTTACATATTACACACACACACGCATAAGTATATTCGCACATGTGGGCGAAGATGTCTGAACAGCTTCCGACAAGAGACCCAGTTAGGTCTCCTGATGACCAAAGCAGCCGAGAGGCCCAGGACCAAGCCCATCATCTTGGCAGACGGATCGTTGTTTTCAGCATGCAAGTTTAATCCTAGCAACTGCCAGTCTCAGTGTCAATACACGTGCTACTAACTGCTATCCAGCCGAGCCGCACCGAAGGAACACACATCGACATCTAGGTCAGGCTGTTGCTGCTGGTCGAGATACTGACACTTCTATTCTCGCGCTAGCTGTGGTCATACTGACAAAGCTACAGTACGCATGTATCACGTGCTACAGCATGTCCCTAACAAGCCCGGAAGAAAAGAAACCTGCAAACCGTAGATCCCAGTAGGACAGCCTTGGCAGTCATGAGCGTACCCCCTCACGAAGTCACAAGATGAGATAGGCGCTGTGTGGCAGAAGATGTTGAAGGACGTACCGGATTTGCTCCAGCACCTGCGCTTTTGGTCGTCAGTCTCTCTCTCTCTCTCTCTCTCGCTGTCTCTTTCACTCTTTCTCTTTCTGTGTTCTTTTCCTGTCTCTCCCCCTCTCTTCTTCTGACTGGTGGGCACCTCCGCCTCGGAACCATGGCACCACCCTGAAGCCTGGCCTGTGCCGTCCTAACCTTTCCAAAACCTATGTCCCTGTCTCTCTCTCTCTCTCTCGCTCTCCCTCTGCAGTAGCAGTAGCTCTCTGCCCTCTCTCTAGTCAGCTTGCAAGAGCCGTCCAAAAACGCGACCCTGCCACACTAAAGCCGTTTAATGCCTTCTCTCAAGACTAAAAGGTCCAAACTCAACCTCCAAAACCCCTATCCGGCACCCCATTACGGCTGGGAATGTCCCGACCATTCCAAAGTTCGGCGGCCCTTCAATTCAAGGTAGCTCCGAACGCAAGCAATGGTCACCACAGAGGATCCCCAAGCAAAGTTCATCACACCCAGTAGCACAAACCTGCAAGCCCGTTCAACCACCGTCGAAACTCGAACGTCGTTGCGATTCGGATCTCAGGGTTGTGCCCACGACAACATCTCCGGCAGCAGCGGCATCTGTTCAGAGAAAATTTAGGGCGTACTTGTGGTTTGGTGGGCAGAGCTGCGCGTGTGGCATTTAGGTCAGGTCTAGGGCTGCTGCAGATGGACTCTAAACCCCGTGCAGAACAGGCGCTCGAGATCCCTCTACGCAGTTCGCAGCAATGCTGCAGGTCAACGATGGAATCTGACGGTGGCAAAGTCCGGCTACCATGGGCAAACCAACCGTGTGACCGTGTCCAGCAATATTCTAAACTGCGGAGCCTCTTGAGTTGCAGAGATAAGCCGGAATCAGTTCGGCCTGGAGCTTTGTTGCATCGAGGGCGTCTTGGCCTCTAGGCCTGGCAAGGAGATTCTGCCGAAAGTGTTTTCCAAAGCAGAATCGCACCATGAGGTGTGTCGCAGTCTTGACACAGGCTGGATTGGAATCGCCACAATAAGCTGTCTGACCAAAACACTAGAGCAGAAAGCAACAGCCTGGGACATGGCTTGGCTTGCACTGGAATCTTTTTCAGCGTGATTTTCCTTTCTGGAAAGAAGGCTCACGTTAGACGATTTGTGACCGGATAATAACTGTACACGCCGAATTCACAGATGGAAGCAGTGCGACGATTCCACATCACCTGCTGCACGCCGCAGCATGCTCAGTACGGGTCGTATCGATCCCGCTTGCCCTTTCCCTTTCCCTTGCCCTTGCCGGAATCATAGCCACCGCCGTAGCCACCGCTGCCGCCATCCTTCAACGTCACATTGGTTGCCTTGGTTTTGCCACTTCGTTCGTCTTCCTCAATGTCGAAAGACATCTCAGTTCCGACGATCATGTCGTCAGAGCTTCCATTGGTCAACTGAGAGAAGTGGACGAAGACATCGCCGGAACCATCCGAGTTCTCGATGAAGCCGAAGCCCTTGCCATCCATGAACTTCTTCAAAGTTCCCGTGTACGCCATGGCTGGGGCCCAGGGTTCAGCTTGGCAGCAAAGAGGCTCTGAGAAGGAGAGACACACGTACCCCAAGACTCCTATAGCCAGATGCTTTTGTCTCAAGCTCAGAGACATCTTCATGGCTTGGGAGCCCTCCGACCGAACCCAACGACGCCTCCACTCTCGTGGGGGTGGTGGTCCTCATCCTCCGGAATTGCTTCGCTTCGGCAACTGTTGTACCGCGTGGGGTTGCTTTGGCAGTACTTGCAGCATGTTTGTGAAGGGACCTACAATTGAAAGCCTTGGCAAATTCTCGAAATGTCTGGCTGCCCAATGGTGCAGTCCCTGACTCTACTCGGGTCCGCATCGAGAGAGACGATGGAGGCGCGGGGACTGATCACCTGCGCCGGGACAGGGGGTTTCTAATGATTGGGATCAGACGATCCTTCGTCAAGGGCAGAAGCGCTGTGTTGATTTCGGCTCACGTCCCAGCACCAAGCTGCAGAGACACCTAAATCCTGGCAATGCGACCAGGACCATCCGACAGATCCTGCTGGAGGACTCAAGTCTTGGCGAGTCTGATAGCGAAGCAGAACCACAAGGAGGAAAGCCATCAGTGAGTTTTCTGAGTGGAAACAGAAGTCTGGATGACCTGTGCAGGCCTGTTACAGTTACGGCAATGTCAAGGCTCGCAGAGCCCAACTTGGCAGCGTTGTAGGATCCTCATTACAAACGACCTAAAACCTGCCTCATCAGATCAGAAAGGGACCCACAAAGCAATCCCTAATTACGACAAAAACCTCCGTATCGAAGTTAGTTGCCCCATGCCTCCCGAAGAATCGCCCGCTGACGTGTCTCGCCTCTGAAGTCGGTGAGAGCGTCATAGTGTCACTGTACGCCGCCAGCTCGGCGAAGGCGTACTGCAAGTTAGGGGGTCAGGGTTCAGGGTCTAGGGTTCGAGGACTTAAAGGTCTGGCTTGATATGAAGCGAGTTGGCTTTAGGGAGGGCTTGACTTGAGCAGGAAAGCCATCAACATAGATTGCACAGGTGACAGCTTGGAAATCCAGAACACCTAAGCCGCAAACCTCAAACTCCAGACCTCTGGACTCACGGACCCGAAAAATGCATGGAGCTCTCCTCTTCTAAAACCGCATTGTTCGTAATATCGTTTTTCATGACTGGGAGACGAGTAATTATTTCTTACCATCACAACATGAGTGAACTAAGACTAGCTGTTGCTCCTGCCGTGAGAAAACCTTAAGCTTCTAGCCTACATGTCCTCGCAAACCGGCTTGATCAAAGGCATAGGTTCGGTGAGTTCCGGGCTCGAGTCCCGTTGCACTTCCTTACCCAAGCTTCGATAGGAGCACAAAGGCATTGGGAATGTTAGTTTCAGGCATGTGAGGTGATGCGTGGCGACATTCGCCTCGAGCTTGTTCGGGTAGTCGCCCGTGGGGCCCTCAGCAGGCCATTATTTGACTAACGAGGCTCGGGGCCCTTTAGCAACCGCAACCAGTATCACCTATCGAATGACACCGGCTTGACCGTCAATGCAGATCATGTGCTAGCAGATCAGTAAAGAAGCCTCCCCTGTAGAGGCGCAGCGCTGGTATGCTTGCGTACTGAGTCGGCTGCGTAGGCTGCTTTGTAGGCCTTCAGGAGGTTGTCGTCATACTCGATCTTCCTTCCCGACTTGATCCGAAACGTAGCGAGCAGCACCCCAGAGACAGAGAGAGAGAGAGAGAGAGAGACAGAGCCAGACAAGCACAGGTACAGAGACGGACTGAGACCGCATGACGCCAAGGCAGTACACGCCGTGCCAAAAACAGTGAGGGGCTCGCCGCAAGGAGCTACGACTTCGGTGAGTTTTTGGAAAATTTTGCCGCCTTCGCCTAGGCTTCCTTGCTGCAGTCGTCAGAATGCTACATAGCGGTAGCCTACCGGCAGAATTTCCGTGGAACCCCACGCGACCCGGCTGGATTTCTAAGACCCTGCGAAATCAAACGACGTTGGCTCTCGAAAGAAGCCGGGCTTGCCCGGCCCTGAATTACCCTCGACATGCGCGCCGCTCTCCTCAGACTGGCAGTTCCCGCTCCGGCATCGCCCTGGCAGTGCTTCGACTCGGGAAGTTGGAAAACAGGATCCAAAAGTGGGACTTTGTGATATCTGCCATGTATACCAGGAGCCGCCAGGTCCTGGATCTTACGGCTGCTCGCTGATACAGCCATACACACAGGCAAAGGTATCGGCACTTGGTGCAACAGTGCAGGTGAGAGAGAGAGAGAGAGAGAGAGAGAGAGAGAGAGAGGAAGAGAGAGGGAGGGGAGTGCGTCACAGCCCGATTTGGGCCAGAGGCTCTAGCACAACCTCCCAGGCAAAGCTACTGTACCTTCTGGACCCATTTCGCTGCTTCAGCTGTCCGAGGTATACAGAAAGTACTTCGGCCATATACTGTCTGTCACTCATGCGACACTAGTAGTTATTTCATGTTGGCTAAAACTCGTTGATTGAGCTGTTCGCGTGTTTGTCTTTCTGCTGTGTAAGAAATCCAGGATCGCCGCGGTGATAGAAGCCATTATCGCGACACTTGACTCCACGTAGTAGATGCTCTACATCCTTGGACGAGTTATCCATTCCCGACACGGTCTCAAATCGTCCACGACACCCGCAAGCCAAACATAAAGATCTAAGTCCGACAGCGCATCCAGCACTCGGGCTGTAGGCGATTGCTTTTGTTGTCAAGAAAAGAACAGGTGCCACCAGTTGTTGTAGCGAGCGCTGTCTCCGTCTGCTTAGCTGCAGTTAAACGTCCGAAACGGAGCAATGAAGCTGCAGCACCTGTCTCCGCAAATCCCACCAGCGCAGGCTTTGAGATCTCTCTGATTCTGCCTCCACCGAGGACAGGTTCCTAACACACCTGCAATGCAATAGGTACCGAGATTTTTTTCTGCCACACAATTACTGGCAAACAGCACTGAGTCCCTCCTACACCGCACTTCTTACTACGACTACACAAGGCTCAACTTCTCTGTCGCGTGTGGCGGAAGGCCCCTGCTGTGGTCGGTGCAGACCTCCGTCTGACAATGATCTGTCCAAGCAAGTGGGATTCAGGGCCTGGCCCCAAATTTCTAGGACAGCCAAACTCCCAAAAGCAACGTTCATGTGTGTCGTCAGCGTCCGGCCTGCTGTACGAATCGAAGCTGCATGGCCTGAACGGCTTCTTGGGCAAGGGTTTATCAATCCTTCAAGTGAGGAGAACATCAAAACTGACCTACAACTTACATACTCGCGTCGAAGAAGCAGCCGAATACCGTGTGCCCTTGCCTGAAGCATCATGCACAGGACGTTCTTCACCTCACGACGAAGTGATTGAATTTCACATCCATTACAACATCAAAGCGGGAAAGCACAGGACTCTCGAAACCCACACTGGATGTCCACGTTTACCGAAACTTCTGGGAATCCGCAGTCCCACTCGACGCGATAGCTCCGCAACCCTTCTCTGCACGAAATTTCGACGAAAGAAGGGAAGCACTGGGCTGGCCGGCCCACCACTTGTCGAGCTGCGGCCTTGGCACTTCCTGGAAAGGTGAAGGGGTCGGGGGGAGAGGCGTTGAAGCCTTCAACCCAACAGTTTGCCAAGCTAGCGACTTGGTGGTTTGCTGAGATTTCAAACTTCTGGAACAGAAATCAGCTCTGCTTCCTTCGGCAGAAAACTCCCTGGAGCCAGAAGCACCAAGCCCCGGCAACCAAGAACATGCAGACCTGACCTCCCGAACCCGACAGGCTGCAAGGATTTAGGAGAGATCCTGAAGCAAAGCACAAACCTGCAGACTGTCCTACTCGTCTCCCCGCCTGACCCTCCAAGAACACAACTTGAGTGTCTGGAATGGACAAGGCCAGGACATAGATGTAAGTCCTCCAGCACGGAGTTCTGTTGTCGGCTTTGGAGTTTCAGGGACATGGGTATTGCGTGCGGGATTCGCAGGCCGTCAACATTTCAAAACACGGATAGGTTAGCTTTTGTAGAAAAACTGCGAAGTACACTCCTGTTACATCCTCCTACACTTCTGTTGACTGTAGAACCCTTGCAACAGCTGACAGTGCTGCGACTCCAAAGGGGGACTCTGTTCAACACATGTGATCGCTTGAGCTTGGGAACTTGGGGCACTCTTCTCAGCGCAGCTTCCTTCATTATTCGGGCTAAACCCAAGAGCCCGAGCCACACCCGACATGCGTGTTCGGTCCTGATTGTAAAAAAAGGAAGATCAACCTCGGTATTCGATCTGCAAAACATTCATAAACGAACGACGCAACAGGAGCACTCAACGGGAAAGCCGTGCATAAGTCGACAAAGCGGCCAGGAGAATGCTGATGATGGCCGAACGTTTTCGCGCCTGCCAACGCCCAGTGCAGGGATTCACGGATAAAGACTAGAAAGGACTATCTACGCTGAATCTCCAGACCCTCAAAGCCGCAAATCATGGACATACGTACTGTAGAGCAGACCTCAAAGCACCTCTTGTCGGTCTGCCCGCAAAATCCGCTGATGGTATTGTGAGCCTCGGAACCTCCCGTTTGCGAAAGCCCACGGCGCAAAGGACTCACGAGTCATTACCATCTTGGTCATCTCGTCGTTATCCTAACCATCACAGCATCAATTTTGCTATGAATGATATTGGCGCTAGCTTGGTGAGAACGCCGTTGACGAATCTTCCATTCAACCGCTGACACTTGGCGTATGTCTGCATATTGACAAAGCTCCTCAAGCTGGCTCACGAGTTACTTCAGCTTGTAATTCGACCAAGAAAGAGTCTCGGCTGCGCATGTACAGTCTCACCCCTGGGAACCTACAACCTCTCTTGTAACTCTTGTAGCCACTCAAACAGCCCCTGCAAAGGCTTTCGGGTGCAACGGCACCTTCACCACATCCGGGGCGGCGAGCTCCTGTGAAGTGCGCGATCTGTGTGTCGAACGACGGCCCGACTCGCACCCCAAGACGTGCAACTTCAGCAGCAGCCGCAGCAGCAACCAGCACAAGTAGCAGCGGCAAAAGCAGCGGCGACTGCCGCGGAAGCTGCGGAAGCAAGCATATTCTGAAACTTGTATCCACACGGTCAGATGCAAATAGATGCTGGTCGCATAATTTGACACGGCAAAGCCACATCTTGAGATGTCGGAACTCGGGAGAAGCAACCATCCGGTCTCCGACGAGCTCTTGGGAGAAGTGAACTGTTCGCAACTTGGCACATGCCACGCGCATACATCTCTTCACGAAATCCGAAACAGTGCAGCCATCAATTTCTGAATCAGAACGGATGGAGAACTTGCAGTTGTTGCGGCTCAGTTTGCTGTCTGCATCGAACCGCAGAACTTTGACAAGTCCTGCCGTTATCCCGAAGCTCTCCTGGCTCTTGTTCGAACCGCCCTGGTAGGCAACACCTGAGAAATCAACGAGGAGGCCCGACGCTCGGATCCGACTGACGAGAGCCTGGACACTATCCCCTGTCCTACACACTTGTTCGGAGCATCACGGCTAGTCTCGTAGGGCAACCGATAGCAACTGCAGGGAGAAGCTCGGGAAGAAGAGGCCAGTGACTCGGATAGGACTGCTGGTGGAAGAAGAGAGCCATAATGATGAAGGTGCCGGCAGCCAGCTTGATCTGCTGCACCTGGCAGATTCCCGAAAAGGCCACGAACACTGAACCCCTAATTCATAACTTCCCGAATGTAACTCCAATGTCCTCGATACCCAAGATGACACAGTCGCCTTGCAAAATTGGGTTAGAGCTTCTCTGAACTGGGAGATCTATGTTCGGGATCGTTACACTTGGGGTTACACTTGTCGAGGAGACACCTATTCTACTGAGGAAGACCATCATGCTGGTTCCTGCCACAAGGCCCAGTCTTGGGATCCATGTTCAATCTTTGCGATGTAGATTCCTATGGCGCTATGGTACAACGTTGTTACAGCCGTCAAACCGATGCTATTTGCGATAGGCACATTGCATCTATGACGAGACACATGTGGAAGCCTGAAGCCAGCCGCTAAACCCTAAAACCGAAACCCAAAACTACGGACCTTGAAAATTTCCTCGCTTCGACGCAGCAGGCCTCGTCTGGGTGCGACTGGGACAGAAAGCCTCACGGAGACTCGCCGAACGCATGCAGGATTCTGGGCAGAAGCCAGGCATTAATCATCATTCAATACTATGAGCCGTTGGCAGCAAAGTATGCATATCAGGCGTGTGCATGCACTCGCACACGCACACGCACGCACGCACACGCACACGCACACGCACACGCACACGCACACGCACACGCACACGCACACGCACACGCACACGCACACGCACACGCACACGCACACACACACACACACATGCACGTGCGCGCGTGTACCTCCTGTCTGCTGGCAATTCAGCAACTTGCTGGTGCGAGCTACCATGCATGTCCAGGTAGATTGGTGGCACCGGTCGGTCAATCTTAATCAGGTCCAGCCAACCATGACCCAACCCTATACTTGCAGCTGCATATAAGGTTGAACAGCGGGAACATGCTCTCGTCGGGAAAAAGCAGGCCACAGAGCAGCTACCAGCTTGGGAATGAGGAACTCTACATGAAGGACTCTTCCCTGTATGCTATGCCTGCTATGGACCGCCTCCATGGCGGAGACTGGCAGGGCTGGTCCTTGTCCCCCGGAGACTTACTCGCCTGAAGCCCTTGAAAAAAGAAGCAACAAGCCGTCACATCCGAGTGACGAGTGGAGGAGCCCTCCCCGCTCTCGGGTGAATCCAGAAACATCATGTTGACGATGTCGATCATGTCCTAAGTCTGTTAAAACATGATAGCCGTCTTGGGACATGCTTTGCATCTTGTAACATCTTCGATGTCGATCGGAACAAGCCTTGCAAATTTCCTTTTTTGTGGAGACTCCCACATCGATGACCTTTGGCGCAAATGTTCCTCAAGCATTGAGGAACACATCATTGGGGTATAGTGAGCACATTCTCGGGAGGAGCGACGAAATGTCACTCCTGGACACCGGCTATCGGTAGAGGAGGCTGGAAGGCAAACAAGGGCAACCGTGGTACAGATTGCCCTGCCAGGCGTCAATGACCACGTGCCAGACCATGTCCAGCAATAGTGCCACATCGAGGGTGGCATAGTCTTGCCTGTCTCAGAGTTAGCCAGGTTGGACAAATCAACGGCTGTTGAGAACAGGCTTCCCAACACAGCCACATGCCTGTGCACATGGTCGAAAACTACATATTCCAAAACATGCAAACAAAAAACCCTTCCTAATCTCCTGTTCTTGCGTCGTATGTGCTGCCCAATGAAAAGGGGCTTCCTGCTTGGAAGTCGTGCTCTCCCTCCGAACCCCCATCCAGCAGTTAGGAGAAACTCGTCCTCCTCCGGTGCCGCTGGCCATCGATCCGCGCAGCGTCCCCTCGCGCAGCAAAGACTTGTCCTGGCCCGGAAACTCTTCCTCGCAGCTTTTCAAATGCAAGCCCCGGAACTCCTCAGCACAGGCAGACCCAGAAACTCCCAAGCAAAAGCCCTGGACTGTTCTGATACAGCTGGCTCAGGCCCGTACGCAAGGATCCAAAGGCGAGCACGGAGTAGAAAAGTGGAGTGAGCCACATGACCTAGAGCTTGCTGTTGCTTCTTTTTCTCTTTCTTTGAGCGCCTTTCACGGCTTGCATTCGGTTGAGGGAGGGATCTAGCGATCTTCACTTGAACGCCCGATAGTTTGCGACGGACGTCGACACAGTATCCAGCAGCCTGTCTTGGGTGCAGTCAATTAAACCACAACATCAGGTGATCCTTCGCATCAGCTTCGCCCAGCGGGGATTACGAAGACACGCGTGGCTGGCACCGATGCCCTTGCAAGCATCAAGCGCCTTCCGCGACGGATTCCAGCAGTAAACAAACCCTGTAGTAGTGGGGAAGCATTGCAGATCTCTCCGAGGCTCCAACTGTCATGACGCTCCTTGGGCTAACCAGCCTCAGATGCTCGGTCATGGCTACCTACCGAGCTGGCGTATCGAAAGTAACACTGCGACTCAGTACTAAGACTCATAATGATGGCTCCGACTTTCACACGGTTGTCAGCACCGTGACTTTATCTGGTATTGGTGGTCAACAGCGACTTGGCACCAAGTGAGCAAGCAAGCCAAGCAACAGCTATTGCCAAACGAGTCGCGAAACGATTTGCACTGGTATAACGATTCGCACTGTCGTCGGCGCGACAGCAGGTCTAGCCAGCACTAATGAACATAGATGCGAGTGCAGGAGGAACAGAAGCACCAAGATGTTGCTGTAGCCGCAGGAGGAGGTGCAGGGGCAGCGGCAAAGGCAGAGGCAGGCGGTGGCGGCAGGGGTGCGCCAGTGGTAGCAGCAGCGTCTCAGAAGCAGTAGTGGCAGCAGCAGCAGGAGCATGAGCAGTAGCAGCAAGAGCAGGGAGCAGGGAGCGGGGAGATGCAGGGCACGGGGAGCCGGTAGCGGCAGCAGTAGCAGTAGTAAGAGCATCAGCAAGCAGCGAGCTGCAAGCTGCAAGCAGCGGTAGCCGTCGCCGTCTAGGAGGAGGAGGAGGAGGAGGAGGAGCCGGAGTCGTAGTCGGAAGGAGTGGGAGTGGTAGTGGGACTAGGTGGGGGTAGTAGTAGTAGTAGTAGTAGTAGTAGTAGTAGTAGTAGTAGTAGTAGTAGTAGTAGTAGTAGTAGTAGTAGTAGGAGTAGTAGTAGTAGTAGTAGTAGTAGTAGTAGTAGTAGGAGTAGGATTTTGGTAGTCGTACCAGCCACAGCAGCAGCAGCAGCAGCAGTAGTAGTAGCGGCAGCATTCTACCTGGCCACATGCCAGCTGTAACTGTCTCCCGGGCCACGTGGCTCTAAAAGTAGGCTGCCGCTGCCAGACGCCCGCATAGTCATGTACCGAAGCATCGGGAGCCTCAGTTCGCAAAGCCCGATCGGCGGAATCTTCCCGGTCAGGGGCGAGGCTTCAGCAAGGGAAGCTGAGTTCTGTGATATCCTCTCGACTGTTTTTCATGGGCCACATGTCTCGGTGTAAACCGGAGCTTGGGAGTATGTGGGGCCATACATGAGACTTGGGATTGCACGTCCATTAGTTTGCGTTCCCATGAAACCTGATATCAAGAAGGTCCTGCGGCTAGTGGTGCTGTTGGTGGTGGTAGTGGTCGCATGACTACTGCTGGAGCTGCTGCAGCTACTGATGATGACGATGATGATGGAAATGATGATGTTCTTATGGTGCCGATGATGGCGATGATGATCAGGAGGAGGAGGAGGAGGAGGAGATAAGGAGTAGGAGGAGATAAGGAGGAGGAGTAGGAGGAGGAGGAGATAAGGAGGAGGAGGAGGAGATAAGGAGGAGGAGGAGGAGGAGGAGGAGGAGGAGGAGGAGGTTGGGCGAGTAAGGACGATGACGAACGAGTTGACGAGGACCAGGACGCGGGCAAAGGACGGAGGGAGGAAGGATGGACACGCAGGACGATGATGATGATGACGGTGATGGTGATGGCGAAGGCGATGGCGATGATGTGGGTGATGAAGTGGACGTTGATGCCGATGTTGATGCTGCTGATGCTGCTGATGAATGCCACAGTAGCAATTAAGATCTTATGACGACCACAGCGATAATGGTCAGGATTGCGTCATGGAGTTGGCGGCGGTACTGTACAGTAGCCGCTACGGGGCAAACCGGCATGTAATTCAATAAATACTGCTGGAAAGCGACGGCACACATGATGCGGATGGTGATGGTGATGATGCCGAGACTGGACATTGAAGGCTACTGGTTCAAGCTGAAGTGTTTCATGTTTGCACTTCATCTGAGGCATGGAGGATCTGCAAGTCTTGCTGGGATGTCTGCGTATCGAAGAAGAGAATGCCGCCGATTGCAGACACGAGCCAGCAGTAGGTTATCCTCAGAGGGATCAGCTCGGCACACAGAGCTGCAACCTAGCTATTCTAGCTATTCTACCAAGCCGATCGATGCACCCAGGTGATTAGCTCAAGTCTGACATGCACGAACGATTCACGTGCCGAAGCGAACTCCACGGGAGCAGCTATTGGGAGCTGTAAAAATTCAACTGCGCGGCTTCCAAGATGCTAGAAGTTGCCTCCCAGGCTGTGAACAGATTGCAGACTCGCGAACATGACCAGCCGCAAACACAACAAACTCCCAATGAATTAGCCAAGGCTCCACTGCAGCCCGCCGGTGCGAGCCTCACGGCCGCGACCGCCCTGCAAGGCCGTGCTGCAGAGGTGGAACAGCCTTCTGCAGAGCACATCGTGGGGTTTACGGCCTCCTAAGGCTTGCAAGGCCTTGGCCAGAAGTTGAACACTAAACCCTTCACTCTAGCTGCCACGAGCCCTGAACTATCAATATCTTCACGCTACAACGGCTCAGAGCTTCCTTGGCCAGTGTCGACTTCGGCAGACCACACCACACCACACCACAGGGACAGGGAAGCAACCCACAACCACACCACACCACACCACAGGGGGGAGTGGGGTAACCAGCCTAAGCAGACCCACTCCCGAACCACACCACCCCACACCACAGGGAGGGGGAAGCAACCCACAACCACACCACACCACAGGGGGGGAGGAGGAACCATTTGGGGGGGGGAGGGGGGGGGGCCGGCCGAACCGGGATCATATATATATATATATATATATATGTGCCAGTCCTTAGAGATGCCAAACCAATGTGTGTGTGTGTGTGTGTGTGTGATTAGAAACATAAACGACAAGGCAGTCTGCGCATGCGCGTACATATGCGTGCGTGTTAATATGTAGTAGGCAGGTAGATGCAGGAATAGACAGCTGCATGTGAAGCACAGCAAAACCACGGAGGATGCTTCTAGCTCGTCAGATGTACGTAAACTCGTTGGCAACAGCTTCCACAACAACTTCACTTGGAGGATTCGCGGTTGTGTCTGTGGGTTGAAATTGAGCCTGATGGGTTTTGCATGGACAGGCGGAGATTCGTCTAAGTATTGAATGCATTCCGGATAAGATGCCGCGTGGTTAAGCGTCTGTACCTGGGCGATGATGAGCTGCCCTTGAAGGGAGCACTGGCACGGACACCAAGAGGCCTCTGGGGCGAGAAGGAACTACGCCAGATGCTCCAAGAATGATCCCAACCTTCAACCGGCAGATTGATGCCAGCCCGCGTAGCAAATCTAACCTGCCCGCCCAAAAGACACTTAATGTTTACCGGCATGCCACGATCTGACCACGCCTATGGCATATCTGCTGTCTTACATCACATGGTTTGGTTCGATCATCTCCCACACTGACCTAGACGATTCAGGAATTTAGGGTTTAGAGAAGCTCAGGAAAACTGTGCAGTTTCTAGGTTGCTTTCGTTTGGAAACCCGGAGGAGCCCTGCAGAAGGGTACTAACGCAAAGAGAAGCCCTGCAGAGGACACGATCAGGCGTGATGTCTCGGATCGTGTCTTCGGGCACCGAGGGGCAGTGCCAGCTGCATGAACAATAAAACCCAAATCCATTCCTGAGCTGCAAAGGCTTCGGCTTTCGTTGCGCTGTCGAGGCTTTGCACTACCTGCACGTGGCACACAAAACGAAAACACGTCGGTGCAACTATTCTGCTGAAACTTCAAGCTCTGATTCCAAGGCCACCCAGGAGTGCTGCTGCAGCATCACCTGAAAAAGAGCTTGCTCCCTTTTTCGGATGTTTCCCTATATGAAGGTTGTCTATGGCGACACTAGTCGCACATGGCTCCTGGCTTGTCAAAGGTGATTTGGCAACAACTCCACACGCTTCCTGATCGAGCACGCCGGGACTTTGCAAAAGATACTATTATACAATATAGCAAAAATAGCAAGTCTTCTACAAGTTGGAGGCCTGCCTGCCTGTCGCCGACGTGCGTCAAGTCAATTCAGGGCACAAGTGTTGCACAAAGTGCGCATCTATCTTGCTGCTTCGAAGGCCGCCATGAATGGCAACTCGCATTTCTGTTGCGAGTTCATTTTAGGGTTGGTGGTTACGTGGGCCTGTTTGGAGGGCCTGTGGGGGAAAGGGGGATGTCAACGCTCCTCCGTGAAGTATGCATGAGTGTTGCCTGGGAAACATGCATGTTTGGCGGTGTTATTGATTGTCTCAGTGGGCCCCAAACCAGGCTATGTATTTCACGGCATTACATGCGTCTTCAGAAACTTGCGTTTCTTGTCCCTAGACCCTTTTGAGGAGGGGACCTGGTTACCTTACGATTGCAGCAATCTTGATATTGGCCAGCGATGTTGTTATGACGATTCTGCGTGATCTGATGCTGATGATGAATGTGATGATGGTTTGTGATACGAACATTGATGACTGTTGTATGTTGACGCGCTCTGGTAAGCCCAGCTATGTAGCAATTGCTGCTACTTGTCACTGTGAAGCTTACGTGCGGGTGCTTCACCTAATGTTAGAAGCGGCACTGATGCGTGAGGTTGTCAGCTACGGCTTCTGGTGGCTTCCACTCTAAGATCCCACATTGCTGCAGACAGCATGATGCCCCGTGTTCAAAGGATGCCAGGAGGCATTGTCCAATAGCAGCATCTGGGCCACCAATATGACCTGATTCAAGCACGCGCCTGCACGATCTTCCATGCCACTCCCAAGGAAACAGTTGTCCAATTCTTAGTCAGCCCTCCAGACAAACAGTGTTAGAGGAAGCTCGCGACGGTGTGATCCATCCCACCGACAGGTTTTCTGTGACAGATGTCAGCAGACAACTCCTCGGACTCAACCACCCAACCGATTCTGCCGAGAGGTACAAGCTTCGTCAAGTTTTCCAAACCGCCGCATGCATGGGCTTGTGCACATCCCAGGGTGGCCTTCACATGTCGGAAACTGTTCACGAGTGTTTCCAAACATATGATGCTGACGACGATGGTGATGACGACGATGGTGATGATGATGATGATGATGGTGATGATGATGATGATGATGATGATGAGAATGATGATGATGTTGTTGATGATGTTGATGTTCATGATGCTCCTGATGCTGGTGCTGATGGCGATGGTGCTGATGCTGATGCTCCTGATGCTGATGCTGGTGCTGCTGATGCTGATGCTGGTGCTGGCGCTGGTGCTGCTGATGCTGACGGTGATGGTGATTGGGATGATGGTGATGATGGCGATAACGATAACATCTGTCCTTATGAATGTGTTTCAGGCAGGTGGTTTAGTACTCACCGTTTTGCTCGTAACAACGTGTAACAACGGCACTGCTTCTGCTTCGGCTTCGAGTGATGTTAGCAGCAGCTTGTAGGACAGCAGCAGCAGCAGCCAGGCAGTAGCAGCAACAATTGTGGCTATTGCAGCAACAGTAGCAGCCGCAGTGGCAGCGGCAATGGCAGTGGCAGCAGCCGCAGGAGCAGGAGCAGGAGCAGGAGCGGTAGCAGTGCCCCTGCGTAGTACTAGCAGAGTGGCAGTAGCAGGAGCAGTAGCAGTGCCATTGAGTAGCACCGGCAGTAGCAGGAGCAGTAGCAGTAGCGGCAGCATAGTATCTGTAGCAGTAGTTGTCGCAATGACAGGGGAAGCCGTCGTTGCAGGATTCTTGTCCCTGTTTTATTTGTAGCTGTGGTTGCAGTTGCAGTTGCACCTGTAGTTGTAGCTGTGGATTGTAAGTGCCGGTTTTGTTGATGCTGTTGGTGTTGTCGTCGTCGTTGTAGTTGCTGAGGCTGAGGCGGCTGCTGCTGCTGAGGCCGCTGAGGCCTGCGGAGGCTGCTGAGGCCTGCTGCTGCTGCTAGTGGTGCTGGTTCTGTTGCTGCTTTTGGTGCTGTGGCTTTGGCCGTTGTGGTGTTGTCGTAGTGGTTGCAGCAAAAGTAGTTGCGGTAATAGCAGCAGTGACAACGATGATAACCACAGGAAGAAGAGGAGCAATTGAGAAAATCATGACCATTACCACTTGCAAAAGAAGCAAGCAATCATCATATCCGGTGCAGAAGGCTGGAAGCAGGATGTTGGCAATGGCAAAGACGATCTTGAGCAGCACGAGGCCGAACTGGGCGGCGGGGCTTCTGGCATTTTGCTACGTAAACAGCGGTGGAGGTAGCACTGCACATGTGAACAGATGCTTCTGCGTTTGCGCACACATTGGCGCATTTTTACGTCCGAGCATATACAGAGAACCGGAAACCGGATGTGGAGCACAAGTCCGGCCTGAGGCCCCAGCCACGGAGCAAAGCCAACTCAACCCACTGCTCTGTGGACGCCTTACAGAGTGATATTTGGGTGTCGGACCAAGGCTGAGTCGCCGCAGAAGTAGTAGTTAGTAGTGGCAGTAGTAATGATGGCTGCACGAGACTAGGCTGCAGACGCCTTTTGGAACCAGAAAGTTGATAGCTTGAACAGCCAGAGGTTGGTATTTAGTACAGCTTCCTTGACAGCTTTCCAATCAATGCAGCATCACGAAGAAAGGTCAAGAAGGCATTCTTCACTCGGGCGTGTCGTGTTGGACACTAGGGCGGGGGCGGTGGTCGTGGAATGGGGCCGGAGGTGGCATGGCACGGAAGAGAGGTAACTCGTGTTCGAGGCATCGGAGCAATGTTGATGCCCCGCCAAAGCAGGATAATCCTGCCGCATCAAAGGTTGGCGCTCGGTCTGTGACTAGCAGAACCAAGCTCCCAAGACTCCCAAACCCAGGTTTCACCGTTTCGTGGCGCTTTGAGCAACCCCAGCTCCACATCATCCGGGCGACGTCCGCTGCCTCGACTGGCTGTCCGCCTGTTAGGGACCAAAAAACGACACCAGCATTTTCAGCAAGATATCGTAATCACTGTTCATTCCTCTTTGTGGAACTCAAACGAAGCACGCTTTCCTTACGAAGATAACTTAAGTTCCGTACGATTTGCTACTGTAGCAGCCAGCGATTGGGCTGGGCGCATGCGAAGTGCTTGATAAAAAACGAGTGAGGTGCCGAGACCCAGGCCCAGCTACGGATTCTGGAGTTTTAACTGCAATGGGACCCGAAAAACTGAAGGAGGAAGTATAAGATGGGCCCCGTACGATGCCTGATTCAAAGACCTCTTCCCAGCACACTGCGAGGTCGAGCTCAGAAATTGCAGCCGGAGCATGAACCCTGTACGCGCTGCCCACAAGAAAAGCCAAAACCTTTAATTGCAGCTTCGGGAAGTCTGTCGCTAGCAGAACTCAAGATCGGAACAAAGTCGAAGCCCATCGAATCCCTTTATGCCCCACTGTCGTTTGTGATGGCCAAACGGCCCGAGGCCCTGACATGCCAAGAACAACTGAGCCCCGAGGAATCTCAGTCGACCCCACAACCCCAAAAGCCCAGGATAGCAACAGTAGTTGCAGCAAGCTTAAGCGTTCCACTAATAAGCTTATTCATCTGAACAGGACCCCGAGGCTAATGAGGCCTCATGGACATGACTGCTGGCCGGAGTGGCGGGGACCGTTTCCGCCATGGAAGCGTCGATGTTAAGTCTTAAGGTTTAGGGGTTTTGCGTTCAGTATTGAGAGTTTAGGGTTTTCGGGTTTGAGGGTTTAGGGGTTTATATAAGCGTAGCGGTTCAGGCTTCACGGGTTGAGGGTGGAGGGCTCAGGGTCTAGGCAGGGGTTTAGCGTTTGGTTGAACGCCTTTGCTTGGGGTTCGGGGTTTAGGGGCCTGGGCTTAGGAGCTTCAGCGGGTAATGGGTTGGGATTCAGCGGTTGAGCATGCTGGGCTCAGTAAGTTGCAGGGTATCTGAGGGTGAGGCTTGGGGCTTCGGGCTTTCAGCTCTCAAGCGTCGAGAATTTGGTGGGCTTCAAGTCTTGCCGGCGCGGGATTAGGGTACGAGGCTTCGCAGAGTTCAGGCTGAAGAACGCCGTTGTTGCTAAGCTCTTATATCTGCAGCCCACCAAGTCAAGAGAGTGCTTCAAAGCCTTTGGTCTTGTAGGTATCGGTTGGTTGGGGAGCAAAAGTTAGAGTCGCTGCTTGGATTGTTAGGTTGCATAGCAACTACAATACTCGCTGTTATGCAACCTCTCAACATGTGCATGGATCCGCTTCAAAAAGCTGCGCATGCAAATCTTGACGAAGCCCAAAACCAGAAAGGATTGCTCCTGAACTCGGCCCAGCTTCTTAAGGATCTTGATTAAGGTAGCTTGTGCCTCTGTCTTTTCTCTCAATTTCATGACCCTCCTGTTAAACTGTTAAGCATTCCCAGGCCACAGGGCCCGTGTGTCAAGAAGAAACGTGGACCTCGCAAGATGAGTCCGTTGCCGCAATTCCCAACCCTACACCTGCAGCGCACTACCAGGGCATATTGACTGCTCCTCATTGCGGCATTTGAGAAAGTTTGCCCGGATTCTGCGTAGGTCTGCAAAAAGCCTCTGTGAAAAATGCCGGTAGTCGGATGATTGGCAGGTGTTTGCCCAAGCCCGGATTTCAGGGGGCCGCTCCGATATCGGCATCTCATGGTCTGATAGCTACCCCATGTGTACCTGTAAATGATTTCTAGCCCCAAACCATCTGCAAAGGCTCGAGGCTGCAAGGGACAGGTCCGCCTCCTGGACCTCTTCGAGGGCGGCTTTCACCTGTCTCACAGAAGGGTGGAGATGTAGCCCTTGACCAGGAAGCTCTCGGGATCGCTGCAACTCAGGAGGCTTCGTACGAAGGGCTTCGAAATGAACGGCGTGTACCCGACTGGTATATCCTCTGACATGCTTGACCGAAACATCCGAAACAGTAACAACTGTAGCAATACGGCATGTTGCCGCACGATTCTTGCTTTTTTTTCTTCGCCCTTTTGTCTCGGTAGTTACCATTCTTGCTCCACTTTCTGTGTTGTGCGATTTCAGGGTCTATGCTACACTGCTACACTGCTGCAGACAAGCACTCCTCCTCAAATGTGTATGTTTCCGAGCGGACTTTTGTACATGTTGTACGATGACTTTCGTTTTCGGAGAGGTGTTGGGCCGTTCCCGGTGGTGGTCATGTTGCCTTTGTTTTTGCGCTTGGAGTTTGCATTTTCCGGCTTCTGCTTCTCACTTTGATCCTTTTCGGCAGGGTTTTTGGTCTTTCACGTATTCGATTGATCCTCTTGTGCTTTTCAAGACGGTCTTGAGGTGCCCGTTGGAGTGGGGGGGATCATAACCTTCGTAATGCTTCTTTGCTCCAGAAGTGCAAGACCTGAAACCTGCTCCCTACTCTCTGACTCTAGCCCCTGCAAGCAGTGCAAGCCCGAAACCTGAAAAACTGCTCCTTATGCTCCCCACCAGCCTCCACTTCATGGTCGAACGGTACTACCGCCGGCTGTGCCTCCAAGGATTTAGGTCAGGTTGCACAGTGCACAGAAGCCTCTGGGATGCTCCCGATGCGTGATTTCCACTTTTCTCTCAGAGCCATGCGCTCTTCTTAGCATCAGAATGTCAAGATTGGAAATACTGGCTTTCAAAGGCTGTGTCGATGGAGTCGCTTAGGACAAGGGACAGTATAAGCGATGCGGTTGCTCAGGGCTCTTAGAAACCCTGAAATATGACATCGCGCCCTGTGCTCGGGAATCCCTCTAGAGAAGGGCATGATACCCCAATCTTCAGCTCGAAAGCTGCAACTGCGGTAAATCGTTGAAACCTTGTAAAGCAAGAAAAAGCCGCAGCTGTGGCCGTGGCCTCATCCAAGACGGTCTTGGGCACCTGAGAGGTCGGGCAGGCTTGGCGAGCCACCGACGGGCAGGAATGCTCACCGCAATGAATGGACAAGCAGCGGCACTCGTAAAACCCATAGGTAACAGCCGCGCAAGAGAGGAGCCAGTCCTAGTCAGTCCTTGGCCACGTTGGAGCCGTGACCCTAATATGAAGTATACGACACAGCTTTATCGTGGTGACCATGGAAAGACGAAGAGACGGTGGACCCTCTCGCACTCGAAACGAGTTTACCTCCATCTGCTGTGGGATCAGAGAATCCTGCAGCTCTGGCTATAGGTCTGTAGAGAGTGTGCTTCGGCCGTGGCTCAAATCGATGAAAGAAGAGCCCGTGGCACGAACTGTCTCCAAAACGTAACCATTGGATGATTGAGCCGTCTCAAGGTTTTGGGAGCTTCGGGGCCTGGGTTTGGGGCTTAGGTTTGCGGATCTGCTTCTCTTGGGCCGGGCGCCTCCCACTGACCCAGGCCCTGGACGAAGTCCCGAAGAGCTGCAGCGTTCAGGGTGCTTCCTGGCAGACTCTGGGTTTGAGGCTCTAGGACCGCAGCCAGGACCAGGACCTCAGATTGCAACAACTTAAGACCTTGACACCGAAGCCCTAGCATTAAAGCTGAAACAATTAACAACCAATGCACAAGCCGGTAACCCCACAAACCTGAACCCTGAATCCTGTAACCTGTAACCTATTAGGTAAACACCTAAGCGAATTGCGAAAACCGACACGCCCGTCGCAAACCCTATGAGAGCTTCATCCTAACTGCTGCATGCCATTGACAGCGAAACCTTAAAAACCTTTGCTCCTTGACCCTTAGACTCCGAACTAAAGCCATGAAGCCTCAACCCGAAAGATCTTAGGCCGGCAATCCAGCACCTGCACGTACCGGCCCGTAACTCCAAAACGCAAAGCGCTTCCGCCCTTGGCCCTCAGGCCCAAAACCATGCGCCTGAGAGCCCTCCACCAAAACCACAAAATCTCAAAGAACCCCGCCAAGCCGCACTACTCCCTGGCCCTCAGACCCCAAGTCTCGACATCCCAAAAATCCCTAAACCCCAACCCCATCCCTAAACCCTAATCCCCAATACCCTGCAGCCCCAAACGCCTGAAGCACAAGCCACGGCCTGGAGGATGAAGGTTTGCCAGGCCCGTAGGCTCCGGAAGCGATGTCAAGGGAGCCCTCGGTACTCGCTTCATCTCAGAAATTCGAAGCCCTGTTGGGATTTAGGCGGTTTAGGGCTTAAGGTTACTTCCAAGGGTTTAGGGTGCAGGTTCAGGGTTCAGGGATGCGGCGTCTTTGAGAGCGTTGCTATTAGGATCCCTGCTGTCATCCTTTTTCGTGGAAGGGGTGCTTCTAATCAGGGGTTGGGTTCATGGTCTGATATTGGCGATGCTCTGGAATTGTGGGATAGCGTTGCAGACTGGACATGGTTTTGTTGATGGTTCTGATTATGATGGTGAGGAGCAGGAGGAGTACGCGAACGAAGAGCATGCGGCGGAGGAGGAGGAGGAGGAGGAGGAGGAGGAGGAGGAGGAGGATAAGGCCAGAGATGATGAAATAGGTCGTCGTCGTCGTGGTGGTGGTGGTACCAGAAACAGCTGCAGTAGTTGTAAAGGTACGAGCTGGCTGCCAGGATTAGTGGTAATTACCAGCAGTTGGTGATCGCAGTAACAGAAGCAGTGGGAGAAGCAGCAGCGGGAGCAGCAGCCGTTGCGGCAACTGCAACGCCGGTCACTATCAGATCCCTGAGAGGCCGCGACGGCTCCTCGGCGCAGTCCTCCAAGCTGGGCACCAGCCGAACCTCGGAGCAAAAGACACCTTTGATGGAAGGTTTGAGGAATTAGGGTCCAGCTGCATGTAGCTGTTAGCTCTCCAAGTTCGGGTCTAGGGATCCATTTCCAGGCACCAGGCAGGCAGGTTCTCCTGGAAGAGCGAGACCCACTCACGCCAAAGAGTGGGATCGACCTCTTTCGCGGAGGCGGCCCAGCTTGGTTTCAGTCAGGGCAGAGGAAGGCTTCAGGGCTGTAAGTTCAATTTAGGATGAATCGCTCGGGCCCCCGGATTCAGAGGGCCAAAACAGTGTACAAAGCGAGGCATGCAGGGACAGGGGCTCCACATCGTTACAGGGACGACATACAAGGCAAGTCCTCCAGTCAAGGTGGCTTTCTACACTAGTATTACTTACGATGACGACTCGGCAACGACGCCCGCTGCCGAGTACCGGGGCCTAAACCGAGCATAGGACGAACACGACGATTGTTCTTGTGACTGTGATGATGCTGGCAATTAACTGCTGCCCAAGACAACTGCTTTGCGCGACACCGTTCAATCCCGTGCATTTTGCCTGCCTCTTCCTTGTCCGTCAGCTGCTCCTTTCAGATATGCACATCCCATCGGTACCTACCGACCGGCTTGGACAAACACTTGTATCAACATACATACCGCAGGAATTGTCAACTTAGCTAGGTCACTCGACAGACTTTCTGCTTCTTTTGAGGACAGCCGAGCAAACGACTCGTTTTTGATTTTTGCTATGCAGGCGGGGTCCTGCTCCATGTCTGCGAAGGCCATGTGCATGATGAGGTCCAGGATTCCCTCCATCTCCTTTTCGCAGGGGCTGAGTACTTTGGCCATCGCCTCAACTGGGTCCCAAGAGCTGCCCATCATAGCTCCCAAGACTGATTCGGTGAAGAGAAAACGGGAACCAAAATCCCCAAGTCCCATGCAAAGCCCGGGTGCCACGACGCCTCTCGCAGTTTCTCGCGGCGCTTGGCATGGCGACCGCGCCTGGGCTTTTTGAGTTCCGCTGCAGGTTACGGCCGCCGGAGGCGGCCGAATCACTTCTCTTCCGGCATATCTCTGTGTGGTCAACACTCTTGTCATCGTCATCTTGTGGCATCTGCATGAGCAGCGCACCCGGTGTTCTGCATCGAGGATGATGACTGCAGGACTGTTACAGGGCTCTTACAGGTGTTCGTCATTGGAGCACACGGCATCTCAAGGGGATGCCGAGTCCTGTTTATGCCAAACGTGTCATCAATGTGCCCTTCATCAACAGTAAATGTCAAAACCGTCGATCGACTACTGACGACAGTACTTCGGCCACTTGTTCACGCCAGCTCGGGCAACCTCGTGCCGCAAGACCAGCGATGCAATCAGTGTACTCTCCACGTGGGCTCGGAATGTTTCCGTTGAACTGCCCGCCGGCAACCCACCTTCGCCTTAAAACGGCTGGAGAGCTTCACGTATGATATTTCGGCTGACTGCACTCACTTTTCTACGTGATTGCACGCGTCCTGGGCATTGACATCTCCTTCCCGGCTGTTGCGTCGCCATACGAGTCATGCGAGGGCGGCTTTGCACCAGACGGTGCGGGTGGCCAAGGCGAAGATAAGCTCAACCAGCGCACACAGATTCCGGCCCTCGAAGTCCAAAGACGAAGCGGGATACAGAGCTCTGGATGTCGAAGTTGGTGCCCTTCATGATCGCTGTGGTTCTGGGGCCAACGTACACGTTTCAGTGTACGGCACACGAATGCGAGAAAAAGAGCAGCACGCAAACACCCAACAAGCCCTGTAAGGACTTCCAGTGAAAAGACGCCTGAACCTTGAACTAAGGCCCCCTGCTCAATTGCACGGTACCTGAGCAGCTCAAGCTCCTGGCTAAGGCATGCTTGCAGGCAGGGTTGGGGCTTGAAGTTCAGGTGTGAATAGAAAAACTGTAGATGTAATAAAGGAAGGGAGCAAAAGAATTGTGGTGCATTGGTTGGTGCTTGATACTTATAGCGTTTGGTTCAATGCTCTCGGTCAGGACTGTTGAATTCAGGGTGGGCAACATATTCGAGATTGCAGGCCATGGCTTCAAAAAGCTTTGTGTTCAATATCCTACATGGCGCTCCGACGGTGCTGCGGAGTCGTGGGAGGCTTAGGAGGCGGGCATGGGTGAGGCCTATAAACGTCAGCTTGTCAACCCTGTTGTCTTGTGTGTTCAACCAATGGTTCAGCGCGCAGCTCTTCGCAAGAAGAAGGCCGAACACGGGAGCACCATCTGTCAGCCACCTTTCATGCATTTGTGCAACCAGCTGAAGTCTCTGAGTGCACCAACGCATGTAGGAAAGCAACCGTATGGAAGCTATCTGAACAACCTTTTAAATTCGATAGCCTCGCATGCTCTGCCATCGGCCTCCGGTTGCGCGCTGTATTTCTGTAATTGGCACGTCGCGATAGGTTTCCAGCTAAGCAGAAGTCATGCCGGAAATTGCTAGCCGAAAAGCCACAATACAGCTAATGCAAAACAGCAATACATGCACTTCCGGTGATAACTCCTCCTGCTCTCGCATGGTCTCAATCATCTCGTCTCGCAGGTCCTGATTCACTTGCTGCTTGAAAGCATTCCCTCAACTGCCGTGGTCGATAGTCGTCGTGGCCAGCGTTGTGGTCGTCGTCGTAGGCGCAACTACAGCAGCCGCAGCTGTTGCTGCAGCAGCAAGCAGTTCGTAGCACCAGTAGTCGCAGTAGTCGTCGTCTACGCGTCGTACACGTAGTTGCACTGTTAGAAGTAGGAGCACGAGCAGTAGCGGTAGCAGGAGCAGTAGCAGGAGCAGTAGCAGGAGCAGTAGCAGGAGCAGCAGGAGCAGCAGGAGCAGCAGGAGCAGCAACTGCAGCAGTAGCTGCAGCTGCAGCTGCAGCTGCAGCTGCAGCTGTAGCAGTAGCAGTAGCAGTAGCAGTAGCAGTAGCAGTGGCAGTGGCAGTAGCAGTAGCAGTAGCAGTAGCAGTAGCAGTAGCAGTAGCAGTAGTAGTAGTAGTAGTAGTAGTGGTGGTAGGCACCCCCCTTACCAACCCCTCCTACACACTCTTCTCGAACACATCCGTTTTACACGGTATTTGCAACACTTTCGTCATGCAGGAACATCTTCTCAAGCCCCAATCGACTTGCGAGTTTGCAAAAACTCCAGCTTCCGATTCTGGACTTGCTTTTTGGGGGTAGGGGTGTGGGGGGGGAATGATGACGACATTGTTATGCAGACACCCCGAACAACATCTCATGTCGGACCATCTTATATAGTCACCAAACCTTCCTCTGGACTATTCGAACTCGACATTGGGCTTTAGGAGGGCTTTCGGCGAAAACTCGAAATTGGTTTGGGGGGAAGCTTTCTTTTTCTCGGCATGTAACGTACTTTCGTCATGTCGTTTCCATTGCTAACCACCGTTCTTTAGCACCAGCCTCGAACACCACAAACCACTTCAAAAGCAAACCCTCCTACGCCGAGGTCTGGGCTTTAGGGGTGTTGGCGAGCCCCTCCCACGTACAGCTGGCATCTTTGTTTTTGATTTTGATGTTTAGAAGATGTTGCGCGTCAGTTTTTAGGAGTGTTCAAACCTTCTGGGCAGCACCTGTGTTTTGCACGGTACAGCGTTTTCGTGCTATCCGACCACCTGTGGTTTAGCATTGTCTTCGCCCTCGAGTTTGCGACTCCGGTTGCTGTCGCAGTGTTGGGGCCTACTACTGCTCCACTGTGACGACGACTGCTGCTGCTGCTACTACTACTACGACGACGACTCCTACTACTACTCCTGCTTCTGCTGCTGTTACTGCTGCTGCTGCTGTTACTGCTGCTGCTACTACCGTTACTACTACTACTACTACTACTTCTTCTTCTACTACTACTACCACTACTACTACTACTACTACTACTACTACTACTACTACTACTACTACTACTACTACTACTTCTACTACTACTACTACTACTACTACTACTACTAGGAAACCCTGTTAAATGAAAAGTGGAAGGATGACTTGAACCCTGAACCTCAAATCCTCAGTCTCGAAACCCCTTGATCCGAAACCCCAAACCTCAAACCCTAAACCCCAAAGCCCAAATCCAACAACTTCAAACTCCCAGCCCAAAACCCAGAAACTCCTGAACCTTGTGTCAAAACCTCTCAATGCACAATTTCTGAATCCTGATTCCCGTTCGAAGTTTCATATTACAGACCTCGGCCTCAACGTCCTAAGACATTAACCTAAGATTTCAGACCCCAATGTCCAAGCCGAAAGTCTGAATTCTGAAACCCCCAGTTCGCAACCTGAGAACTAGAAACCTTTGACCTCATCTCCAAAACCTCTCGCGTCAAGATATTAGGTTTGAAACCCCAATTTCTAATCCTAAGCCCCAAATTCCAAACCTCCCTCTCAACATCCGAAAACCAGAAGCCCTGGATCTTTTACATCACACCCAGTTTCCGAATTCTGATTTCCGAATCTAAAATTCCAGCCAAGTTGCATCCGGCCAACAATCCAACAACTCTAAACCTTCAGCCCAAATCCCATAAACCCAGAACTTCTGAATCCGAAATTCCAACTCTCGAAACTCGAATCCAAAATCCCAAAACCCTCAAACCCAGAACCCTTTGCCAAAACTTCTCAATGCAAAATCTCTGAATCCCGAATCTCAAATCTAGAATCCCAAGTTCCAAAATCCTCAGGTTTAAGCCCCCGCATCTCTCAATGTTTTACTCGCACAGTTTGCAGTCATTCACCGCGGACGGGGAAATAGGCACCACTTGGTTCGTGGATTTCCCCCGCGTCGCAAGATCCTGAGACAAATAGGGCAAGCACGACACGGTCTGTATCGAATGCGGTATACGGCCCGCATTCCTTCATAGGGCGGTTCCCTCACAGAACCTGATTCAGGCGGTGGGATAGGTTCGACCCCTCAGGTTTGGAGGGAAGTCGAACTTGAGCTTTGGCTGAAATCTCATAATTTCGCGCAGGCCCTCTGTCTTTGCTGGGACAGCCGGTTCAAACAAATGTTCACCACTTTCTTTGGGTGGCATCTTTATCCAACTCACCGTTTTGTCGGGAACTGGCACCCGCTTGCCGCCGATGACCTTAGAAAGCTTGGATTCCGACAATTGGGTTTGACACGCACACGTCTAGATCCAATGCAGTTAAGATGCCATGTAGCCCTTTGATTTCTTAGATGGGCTTTGGCCATCCAATTCCTTCCAATCCTGAGTTTACCGGCGGAGTCGGGCATGAGGTTGCGTGTTTGAGGGGTTTTAGGAAACCAGGTGCTGGCCAAGCGGCGATGGCCCCTTGGATACCGCCGCTGCCCTGAGTTGGTTTCATGATGAAAAGCATCAGCTACACGAATGCAGAAGGAATTATTTAAGCCAAGTTGCATCCGGCGTCTCGACGATGAGCGGCAGCTGGAGCGCCTTAGTAATAGCATTGTAGGGTACAGGGTTTAGGGGTTTTGGTTTATGGTTTAGCGTTTAGGGCATGTTTAAGCCAAGGAACTCCGGCTGCCCTCTTGTTGGGGGAACTGTTCCCGGCGACCCGCGCGTCCTTTGCATCGCCTGGAACAATGGCTGTGGCTGGGACAGCATGTGAGAACACTTCATGCTGAACCATACTATTATTAATTGCCAAGGACCGCATCACAAAGCCGAATGACGACAAGACTGATGCACCTTGGCCTCGACCCTTAATCCTTAAGCCTCAACCCTGAATCCTTAACTCTTAGGGTTTGGGCACTAGGGTTTAGGGCCTAGGGTTTGGGCCCCAAGGTTTAAGGCTAGGGTTTGGGCATTAGGGTTTAGGACATGAAATCAACTCCACGGCTG